CCTTGGAGCATACGGTGAATGGTGAGCAGCTACAAGGGGTCTGACCTACAGAGCAGCCTTTGGGATACATACCCACGCCTGCTCCTGGCCCTCTGTCAGCGTGCCCTGTCTCTGGTCTTGGTACCCCCCAGCTCACTACGTTCTCCCCTGCATTGCCTGTGTCTCTGATGGGCAGGCGACGACCAGTTGAGAGGGCAGAAGAGATATTCTCTGTACTCAAAGCCCCCCTGTCACCAAAGACTAAATAGACAAAAGAAGCAATTCAGGGAAAATCTGTTCAGCCCCTGTAGCCAAGAAGGAAAAAAAAAAAAAAAAATACTTGGAATGAACAGAATCTTCTGAAAATATAGCTATTAAGCTCTGCAATGTCTCTGCAAAGCTACAAAGCATACACGAACCACAATTTTCAGAGGTTTGTAACTCAGCCACATTTAGGTAGATGTTTGCAAGAACGCTAAAAGCTTATTTTTGACATCAAGACGGTTCCCCTATCAAACATCAATCCCTTGATCTACCGTTGAGAAGGAACAGAGTGTCACCGGGAAATACATACCCTGGCTCTGATATAAACTGCACACTGTAGTATTCCCTAATGTTTTTGTTTGATCCAAAGCACTCTCAGCAGAAAATGAACATAAAACCTCAACAATAGTAAGGATAATGAAACATGGGCCACATGCAGTTTCAGGGAAAAAAAAAAAAAAAAAAAAAAAAAAAAAAAAAAAAAAAAAAGAGCCAGTTTTGCAAAATTACAAACAGCAGAAAAGTCAAAGCTGAAAACACCACATGTTTGACAATGCTACCAGCTTTCTTCACAGTGACATGAAGAATGCTCATTTTGTTTTAGCAGAAAAGAGGGCATGGTCTAGCAGTTTGACCTTCCTACCAGCATCACCACTGGAATGCTGATGTTTTTCATGTTCCCTGGCAGAGCACTCACACACTGTAACCCCATTCCTTCCTGCCTATAAAAGCATCTAATACCTATCCGTTAGCACATCACTATGCCTGCTTCGTGCTCTTGAGCAAATCACATCAAACTTGTCATCCTCCGTAGTCTGTCACATCTGTTGAGACCGAACTTTTCCAGGATGTGTCTACATCCATTTGAGTAGTGGTAGTCGGGAGATGGGCCATCTCAGTGGGATAACGCAGTACCATTACTGACTTAATATTGCTTGTGTTTCTTCTTTTTCTTTCTCTTACTCTGAACTGTCAGGATTTGTGATTCTTACACAATTGCTGAACCTTCTGTTGGTAGTAAATAAATAAATAGTGGGTAGATACGCGTCTAGTCAGCTTCTGAAGAGCACCTGCATCTCCTGCTGCAAAGAGCTGGGAGAAATGCCAGCGCTCTGATATTCTTCCTTCCCTTTTCCTCGAGTCAACAGAAGATTCTCCAGAGACGCAGAAGCCTGGGACTTGTGGGAAAGAGGATACAGTCTGTGGGGGCTAGAGGTTGCGGCCAGTGCAGCGTCTACCCTACCAAGTCCTCAGCTAAAGAGGAGGGCAGGTCATGGTTTCTTGGGAGTGTGAAGTCTTATGATCTTGCAGTCGGAGAATATAAATGTGCAAGACCATTCCCTGGTTGTTCTGTCATCCATAGGTATTACAGGACTGGAAGATACCTTAATTTTGCAGGGACTAGGAATTAATCTTGATCCATAAGGCGGAGCGTTGGAATCTCCTTCACTGGGAGTAACTGAATTCCCGTTTCCTTCCGTGTCCATAATTTTCTGAAAAAGAAGAGTATTTATCCTCCTAGTTTGAGGCATGCAAAATGCTGTGTAAACACTCACACTGCTACTTATGGATTGTCAAAGCAAAGAGAAAAATTAAGATTGTTAGGGAAGGAAATGACATTTTTAAACTCATCAGTGGATACCATAAACAATGGAAAAATGTCTAAAATGCCTTATAAATAGACTGGTTCCTGCTAAATGTCTCCCTTTTTTGCTGTTTGAAGTACCAGTAGCAAGCTACCTAAGAAGGAGATTAGAAAATGTATTAAAATAAGAACTCAGTAGGCAAGGAAACACATAGTTTTCATAGCTGTGAGCTACGTTTTGCTTGCTGGGAGCCTCAATGTACTACCCACCCTTTCGTCCCTAACACTCCGTTCATGGAAATATCAGAAAGACAAATTCAAGTGTTCAGAAAAATGCAGTGAATGTGAAGGGATGGGAAATTCTAAGACCTGCATCCTGTTCTTTTACTCGTCAGATCTTTAAAGAATAGGACATCTGTAGTCTTATCAGCTGTTACTCACTTCTTCCATTTTGGAGCTCAGGAGAACTATTACCTCAGGGAATTTAATTACACTAAAAACATTTATCCAAGTAGATCAACTGCAATATTTATCTGACAACTCACTTTCGATACGTTAATTTACCTCCAGAATTAACCACGTCATTTTAAAATCATGCGAAGAAGTTAAAATCAAGATTTAGCACGTTTGAGCAGTGAATCGTAATTGTTTGCGATGGGGTTAACTTACAGAAAGCACCAGGAGAGGGGACAGGGGACAGGCTCATCTTTATGTGACGGTAACATCAATCCCTCCTGCTCCTGTTTGCTCACAAAGACTCAGATGCCTGTCAGCCAATGTATTTTAATTAGCGCTGAAATGACATTAGAGATTTAGATACCAGAGCATGCTTCTCAGAAGTTATTTCTTCTCTGATTTTAAATCACGGGATGCTCTTGAAAATAGCACCTCACTGTGACCGCCTGGTATTTTTTTTGACCTAGAATGTAGTTTTTGTTGGTTCACTTTTTGGCTTGAGTCATTCTCCAAACACATTTCACACTTCCCCCTCAGCCACTGGCTTGTGGCAACCGAGTTTTTGCCACTGAAACTGTTTACCTTCAAAGGTTAACAAAACAAAAGGGGTCCAGAGCATAAACATTTCTGTGGAGTAATACATACCTAGCATACCTTTTTCATCAACGCTTCAGTGCAGTTCCCAAAACTCTACATTTTATCTGAAATTTTATATGTGTTTGTTCACTCCCACATTTTCCTGTATTTAACATGAAGAAGTGTCCCTGGATATGCACATTAGTAGGGAAGGCTGCCTTAATGAATGTTATTATCAGACACCACCAGGTACCACTTTATTGAATTTTATACCTTTGTTTGAGGGCTCTACAGACCCACAAACGTATTCAGCTTCTCTTTTATTTTGCCGAGCCATCTCTGCTTCCTCTTCCAATGCAGCTGGTTGCATAATGGGTGGAGTGGATTTAATGAGTTTTGCCAGCTGGGTATCCCTGCAGGGCACGCCCCTCCAATTAATTTATCCAAATATAAACGTAATTCCCCACACAGTGCCTGAAAGTGTGGCAAGCTTCCAGATAATCACTGAGAGGTTTTTTCAGCTCGCCTTAATTTGGGAAAATATTTAAAGTGGGTTTGTTTGGTTGTTTGTTTTTTTTTTTTCCCCACCTTGTGTTTATGTCTTCCAGTCATTCCTTGCCCTCCCTGGATGTGCAGCCGTAAGTCCCAAGGGAGCCAAGCTGCAGGAGCCTTTGCTGGTTTGTTAACCTCTAGAAGAAGTCAGGCCTGAAAGCTTTTACTCGTATTCACCTCACCTCCAGCTCAACTGTGGACGAGTACAGGTGCCCACACTTTTAACAAATTCCATCTCTCAGGACAAGCGGCAGTAACAACTATTCACTCACTGGAAGCCACACGGCCAGGTCCCAATCTAGCAACATCTGGCTTTCCAAACAGAGGAAAAAAGAATGCGGAATGCTGCAGAAACAGCTGGCACAAAACTTCATTAGTCCCCTGAAGTGTACAACAGACAGTCAGCATTTTTCTCATACTGAACCCAAGTACTCACGGTCACGTTTCCTTCCAGGTCGCAGTTGGGACGGCAGATGTTCTCCCAGTGTGTTATTCTCCTCGCATCCTGCGGTCGGGATTGCCAATTTCTTCAGGTTCCAGAGTATAAACAGAAGTTAGTTCAATGAAGCAATTGTTCACCCCACTACAAATGACGTGAGATCATTTTGCAGGCTTCTCTTGGATTCCTGCTTCAGGGGAGCCAGAATGCGAAGGGGCGAGGAGCAGACCTGGTGGCACGGGGCAGGAGGTGCTGGCAGTTGCTCTCAGTAAGGATGTCTCCTGCTGTCCTGCCTGGCTGGAAGGGCACTGGGAAAAACATTTCATACTCCTTGTTAGGTCATTAACATGCCGTTAATATTTTTTGCTATGTACTTGGGACATTTATGGCCTCAGCAACGCTAGTTCTTGACTTGTGTGATCAACAACAAACAAATTTAATGTTCTTTGGTAGATAAGACACATACAGGTTTATCCCGAGACATTACAAAACAATTTTAATAGGGCTGTAATAGAAGAACAATTGATGAAATCCATTTTTTATCGGCTGATCACAGCTGATACTGTTCAGCTGAATATCTTGAGTAACAAAACCGCGGTATGTGTTGTAGAACACAGCAATTTAGAAAAGGGAAAAAAGAGATGGGCTGACAGATGGGCTGTGCCAAGAATGGTGGTGTGCTTACCACCCAGCCCTGTGCTGTCTAGAACCGGACAGAACGATTTCCAGTCTTCAGGACAAGGACAGCCAGCCAGCTGTCTATTTTGTTGTTGTCCAAGCCTGAACCTTAACACTCCTTCAAACCATGGGGCTGTAGAGTGCCATCAAGACTTTTCCAAGCATGTTATGGTTTCTGTAGCTGTACACCATAACTTCCTGCATTTTTCACATTTCCTGGAGCTCGTGGAGTTGGAATTCTCCCGTAAATGGCTAGTTTGAAGAAGGGTTACCAGGGATGGCACAGAACAAGCACCCTTGTTAGGTATGCGCAGTCCTGGAGCCATCAAGAGGCAGAAAACACCTTTGTACCAGTCAGAAAATAGTGCGATACCACTGGTTAAGACCACAGCAGAGCAGCAGAGGATAGATGGTCTCTAGGCAGAGGGTGCCAGTGATGCAGTGGATAAATGCCTTTCAGAAGAACTGAAGATGAAAGAAGCCAAGTGGCTTGGGATCTGTGAGACTAAACCAGAGCATTTCATCACCAGTTCAGAAGATTTAATTACACCTTCTGTGGGAATACTTCTTGAGGTAACTTCTCTGGCTATCTATCTTGTGTATCCTTGATGCTGTCCGTGATGATAGATATCCTGACAATCCGTGAGAAGTCATCTTAAAATCAGTCAGCTAATGACCTATTTAGTGCATTTAATATAACAGAATCTCACCACAGGTCTCTCTCAGCGAAGGAAGTTATCTTTCTGTGGGATAAAATTAACATTACTAAGCACAGTGTGTTGTGATTAGAAAGTTATTTTCTTTTTAGAAAGACAACTAATGTTCTCTTTTAAGAATTCTGTTATGTAAACACTTTCAGCTCAAGATTAAGTTCCCAGCTTTCTCTTGGATAAGCTAACGAGGCTGAAGTCTTTTCGTTAGACCTATTTTTGGCCTTGGATGCTTTGTGATCACTTTGAACTCTCTCCAAATTTTTAACACTGTAAAAATGCTAGATGTGAGAATTGGGTACGTTTTAGAAGTAATCTTTTTGCAGAAATAATATAAATGTTTTTATACACGCATGTCTTTGCAGCCACCATGTGTTCATATTTTTTTGTTCACTTCTTTATTTACAGTGATTTGTAAGTCCTCATCAGAGATAGCTTTCTACATAGTCAGCTGTGCATGTCTGGTTTTACTAAACTTGCTTTCCCGACAAAGATCATTTACTTGGAACAAAACAAACCAGGCCTGAGTCCATATTTAAGTTTACAGTAACTCCTCTTCCGTTGGTCTCGTTTGGAGAGTCTCCACTCAGAGTTTGAAGGTCACCTTCACCGAGGCTGAACGTGGAAAGCTTCAGTCTGAAAACGAAGGCTCCATCGAAGCTGGAAGCAACTCAAAGTAAGTTATATAGTGTGGGAAAGCTAAGTAAGCTACATGCATTGTTTGGACAACTTTGAATATATGAGTCAGAGGCAATGAGGAAAGGAATTATCCTTTAAAATGTAAATTCAGAAATCATCATTTGGGACAGCTTAAATACACTTTGGTGGCTCGCTTGTAGATGTTGGTTACTATAGCTACCTGATGTAGCCATTATTTTTAATCTATATTGCACATAGACCCAGAAATATTCTGCCTGGAAAGAACTACAGGAGGACATGATGCTGTTCTCACAAACACTGATTTTTAGTTTAATATTATAGACCATTTATTTAAGTAGCTTTGTGAGCTGAATCACAAGATCACACAGCTACATCTAGCTCTCTAGTTCTTTGCGTGTATGATGCTGATGTATAGAGGTACTGACCTGCGTAGCCTTTTGGCTAAATTAGGTTACTTGCAGGCCACCTCGGAGTTCATGGTGTCAGCTCAAAGCCTCCGTATCTTTTGCTGAACCATTTTTCTCTCATTTTGAAAATATACCAAGGGAACTGGTTGATGAATGTTCTGGAGGAACAGGAACTTTGTGTGACGGTGCTGGAAGCCTGGCCCGGAGAGGGAAGGGGTGATGCTGGGTTTGAGTCGCCCAGGTGTTGGCAGTTGTGAGACATTTAGCTTTTTGGGCTATTTTGCCATTCACAGATGATACAACATTAACTGAGGAGCTATATCCATAGCAGAAATGTTTTAAAGTGTACTTTGTTTTGGTAATGGCATAAGAGGAAAACTTGAATCTAAAACGCAATAAGGCTGAAGGTGTGTTTTGAGTAAATCCACGTCACACTGCTAAGAAGCTCGTCTGGCCAAGTTGACCTCGCGTAGAAATGTTTATCAGCTTCTAGTTGCCCCATCCTTGGCTCTACAGAAATCTCTGCGACTTGATCTCCTCACTCAAGCTCAAGTGTCCTCCTCCCACCTTACTCTGGTGGCTTCCACAGGCTTTGTTCCCTGTTGCTTTACTGTTCTCAGTGCACGGCATTTGTAAGGTTATAGCAATTTATCTCGAGGGCTGACAGGACATTTTAAAACATCCTTCTGGTCAAAAATGTCAAGCAGGCAACATTGGTATGGATCCTGATGACTCCTGTGATTGAGGACCACTCGGACAGATAAGTTGTTGAAACACTGTCCTTGTTCCTGGTGATAAATTTCAAGTGACACTTCTAAAGCAATCAGTTTGAATCCCAGAGATTTTTCTTTGGGAAAAATTTAAGACTAAATTGTTTGAAAACCGTGTCGAGTAAGTGCAATTTGGAGCACTGAAAGACAAAACTCTTTCTGGGTTTTGGAAAATTTGGACTTGACTTTGTCCTGAGTGAGGGAAGAAAAAGTAATCTTGATCTGAAGCTCTTGAGAGTCTGCAAACATGAAAATGCTTCCACATTTAGCTGTTGATTTGTTTTGCCTCATTTTTGGTGCCTCACCCTTAGAATAAAGATTATCAAATGGCAGTCTGTAATTTGTAAGCAGACTTTTCTCCTAATGGTTTGACTTGGTTTTTCTCACTTTCCATAGTGCAGCTTGCTTCAAAAATTGCAAAGACCCCTAACAGCAGAGTAGGTGAGGGCTGTGCGAGCATGCAATTAGAGGAACCCCGCGACCGTGTGGTTCCCAGCAGAGAACGGCAACATTCATTCGCACAGTGGGCTTCGTGTCTGTTCAAGTCTTTCCTGCTAATGGTATTAAAAGTATCACATGTGTAAATTGTCTTCAGGATGTTAAAAGATTATCGTGTTACTGCCGAGAGTGAGCAGGCAGGATCTGCTTCCAAACACAGGCAGTAGCTGCTTGCTTTTCAGCCAACACAAGACTGACGCTTTCAGCTTCATTAATATGTTTAACGTTAGTGAGGCGGTTGCTGCTGTTTCACGGGCTGTTTACTATGAGTTTTGGGAGCAAAATGATATCAAAGCTAGAGTCTAGCTCCAATTCTCCCACTGGCTGGTGATGATGGTGAACCTTTTTTTAGCGTGTGCAGAGGAACATCGTTCTGCGTGGTTTGTCCTAACTTACATAAACCCAAGATCAATGGGTGTTGCACAGTCAGCTTCTACCCAATATCCACGTCCTCCTATGGATGCTTTGTGAACCGTCACCACTGTAATCATGGGAACACAGGCTCTCCCCTGAGAAGCAAGAAGAGCTCGTTATCACAGAGCCAATTTCTGTGATAACTGCTGCATCAGAGATGCCCCCAAGGCTGGTGACCCCGCCGGTGCCTCTCCTGGGCTGCAAAAGTTGGAAGTTCCTCAGCGAGCTCTTCGCCAGGCACTTTTTCTCTCTGCTGTGGGAAGGATTGGTGCGGGATGAAGGTGCTGACCCACTGGTGTCTATTTTGGGTCTGTTCTTTCTGGTCAGCGTGGCTTAACCCCTCTGGTATTTTGTCACTCTTGCTCATCTTCTTCTTCACCAAGCGTAGCAGAGCCGCCCGGCTTCTGATGGGCTGATACGAGTGCATCTCTCCTACCCAAGTGCACCAGGACAACTGGCCTCCACAGCCAAAAGTGGGAGATTCTTTTAACCCCTCCTCTCTTTCTCTCCTTTTGTGGCAGGCTGCTGCCTTGCCCAAAGGACGAGCGACGCCAAACTCGGTTCCAGAAGCATTGCCGAGTCTCTGGCCAGTCCCGTGGGCAGCCTGCCCGCTCCGCTAGCCAAACCAAATGTCTGCGCTAGCCCCGAGGGAGGAGGAGGAACCATTTTATGGCAGCTGTAAAAGGGCACACAGTAAATGCCAGTGCTACTGCTCGTCTCTCGTCCCAGCTGACCCAGGGAGTTGGGGTGTGCGTGGGGGGCGCACGCGAGCAAGCGGGGCACGGCTCCCTCCTGGCACTTCGAGATTCGGGTTGCAAACTAGAGAATTCGCAAAACTTAGTTGATTAATTTGGGTTCGTTCTATCTAGTTTGAGACCTGTCGTTCAAATCTTGAGATGGGTCTCAAGACCTGTAACACTTGAAAATGTTTGTCTTAAAGAACACATCCTGTCTTTCCTGCACGCATCTGTGGAAGATCTGGGGATTTTTGGCTTTGTTTGTATGTTTATAAGTACAGGGGGCATTCCAAGGGATTATAAATCTCCAAAAGTCTAATGTTTCACAGTCAGGGATGTGCTAGAAATCTTCTAAGTCAGCTTCTCCTAACAGAACTGAGCTGTTTCCGTTGCTGTGATTAGTTTTTGTTAGGAGTTTACTAGCCCTTTCCTCCTGCTTCTACAGTTGCTTTTGCAGTGCGTTTACACGTCCTCATTTCCCTCAGCCTCCTCTGTCTGCAGAGATGCATTCGGGAAAAGCTTTGAAACATCTAAAAATGCTACCAATCTCAAATTTCTGTCTTCAAGAAAGTTTTGCTTATTTTGTAGGCTACCCGTTATATTCTGCAGAAGAACAGATAAGTTTTATTGTCCTGGAATGCTTCCTACTCTTCCCCTTCCCCTCCATAAACGAGCGTTATGCCAGAATTTTGTGTCATCTAATTATATTTTTTGCAGTCTTTCTATATTAGGAAAATTATTTGCAAGCTTTTACATCAGTTTGTTTGTTTGTTTGTTTGTTTGTTTTTTAAGACAACTTTTTCCTGCTCTCTATTGCTGCTGTATCCACTCACACACCGTAACGTGAAGCTATCCTTTACATTCTTCAGTGACTTCATTTGGAGGGGCTGGGATGATGATAAAAGTTGTGAGAAATAGTCAGCTCTGGTTGAGGAATGATTCGCGCTGCAGCAGGTCACCATTAAAAAAAACCCACCTGGAAATGTATAAAATCTTCTGTTTGGAACTGATTCATTATCAAAGTAGTGTTAAAGAAGAACCAGCAGCTGGAGAAGCTGATAAATGCTGGAAAAAATGAGCTAGTAAGGGTATGGGAACTGCTGAAGATACGGAGAATTTACGACTCTGGTAACCCTCTGGGTCATTAGCTGCCTGAGAATTTAGGAAAAAACAGGAAAAAATAAAAATAACTATTCCAAGGTATGTTTCTTGCTTGTTATCTTTTAAAAAATATTTTTGGTTAATGTGCCATGGTTGTAAATTTAAAAATTTGAAAATTTTGTGCCCGATGCTTACAGCACCTTCATTATTACAAAGAAGTAAAACACCTGATGTTACCTTTTTCCTATAGGACTACTAAATAGGTAGAATTTAAATCTCCAGCAGTCCTGTCTTGGCCAAGGTTTGGCGAAGGACTGGTCTGTGCTAACGAATTAGCAGCTGCAGGGCTGCACCGCGTGGTACCCACTGAAAAATGCACAACTGATTTATTACCATCCTCACTTAACCCATTTTACTATAAATAAATGTTTACATTCAATCTCGTACTACGTATATTTAACATTTCCAGCATGATCTCTTAATAGTCTTCAGGTGAAAGTACGTTGGGTCGCCGTGAAAACTACTGAATGCATTATTCCACCACTTCCAGCAAGCAGGGTGCTTCTGTCACTGTTTTAGAGGTGACGATTAAGGTAAAAATTGTTCAGTGGGGAAAAAAAGCTTGTTTTGGTTGAATAGTCTGGGGCTTGTTTTCCGGGTTATTTAGCAATTTGTAAGTACTTTGAAATTGCAGTTTTCACTGCCTGCATACCCACACGCAGATACCTTGCACATGGCACACAGAATATAAAGAATGTAGAGTTAATGTGGAACTGGATTAAATCTTCTGTCTGGAATTAGATGGGAAATTGGGCAGTGTCAGGGAGAAAAATCTCTTTTCTCATATAAATGAGTATATGAAGTCCTTAATTATGACTTGAGTGATTATGTACCAGAAATACTCATGACCAGAAATATTTTATATTTCAAGAGGGGTATTGGGGCAGAAATATATTGGGAAAAAATACTCTATTTGGTATCTGGCTGGGTATAATAAAGATTTTTTTGCTTTTTACCATAATGGGTCCTTGTATTAGATAACGTACGGCGTTTTAATCCTAACTTTTAAACCCACAGTCTTTGGTTATCCTGAGACTTCTGAGCTCTGATCAGCACCTGGTATTTATAGATTCTTTCTTCCACCTCGGTTCCTTAAATTCATCCCCAGTGGGACCGAAAGAACTCCTAACATCAAAGCCTGCCCTTCCTCCCACTACAGATGCTCATATCCCACCAGCAAAACTCGTACTTCGGACAGTGCCAGACTTCTGAGTCACTCGAAGATCTTAAAAAAACTGAAGTTTAGAATGGTGCCTTGGAAAATATGACATCACCGGGAGTTTCTCACAAGATTTCTGCTCTGAGAGCATCCGGCAGGCAGTGCTTATACTGTTCCCAGTTTGGATCATCCTAAATCCTCAAAATCTTTCTTGCCACCAAACCCCTGAACTGATCAGGCCTGCAGAGCAAAGGTGGAGGACAAGTAGAAAACAGATGTAGAAAACTTCTTCAGGAATGTCCCTTATCAGTGCATGGAATGAAGCGGAGTTCCTATGTACGAAAGCATCGAATTAAAACTAATTAACACAACAATAAATCCACCACGCTCTAGGTTATACCATACTTAAACTTCAGCAAAGGGGTTTTGGCCCTGTCTGTATTGGTTTGTCAGACAAACGTTACAAAGGCAGCGAAGGGAAACGCCGTGTTGAGACTTCAGCACTAAGCCAAAGCCCGGAGCCGCGACATTTCACGAAGCTCGAGCCTATTTGGAGCATTTGGATGTGGCAAGCAGGCGGCCTGAGCACAAAAGGAATAACCAGCTGAAGTGGTCAGTGGGCTGGAATTGTCCGTCGTGCAGCAGAGGAATTCCCTTTTAAGATATGCAATAAGTAGCATCATCAAGAAAACCCCAACACTTGAGGTATCTATTCTTCCTTGGAAGCCTTCCTAAACTCTTGGGTACCACCTACTACGTATCTTTTCAGGACCCGACCTGCAACTTTTTGTTCTTCGTCCATAGGTGAGAATTTTGGGCCGTCGTTACAGTAACAGTGGCAGATGGCAGAGAGCTACATGGCCAAATAGATTGTTACTTTTTCTGCTCACCAGAGTTGAGTATTTTCTTTCTCTTGCAATTTCTTTGCGCTAATGCAGTTGAGACAACTCTTACTCCCCTTTCTGACACCACCACCACACCCCACCCCGCCCCCAAAAAAAAACAACCAACCAACCAAAAAAAAACACCAACAAAACCAGTTGGCTACACTGAGCAACTAATTCCTTTAGTAGAAAGTAAAAGGAATAGTGGGGAATTACACACCAGATCTGACTATAGGTCAGGAGCTTAGATGTGCATGAAAACAGTAGCTAGGACAAGAAAAAAAAAAAAAACAAAACAACAAATCCAGTTCATCATGTATTTCCCAGAATAGTTTTTCTGAATGTCTGTTTGCAGACGGCAGTGTGGGAGGAAAACTTGGAATTCCAAACCCCAGCCCTGGCATCTGCAAAGCTCTTTGCAAAAGCAACTGACTGCAGGAAAGAGAACAGGGCAGACGATTTGCAAAATGCTCTTAAATTTGAAACTTTACTTTTGCTTTGTTTTCAGTTTGCTCAAATGTAGGAAGCAGTGCTCACTTTTTCCTGTACGGGTGAAAGATTTTTCTAGGGATGCTCCATTTCGGCAAGATGATAATTTGAACGTGGCTTTAGAAAGTTGGTACAGTGGAGACCACGCAGTTGTTTTCCCAGGAGAACACGAGGCTGTAAACTCACCCCTGTTAACTAAAGCCATTATTATTGGACCTTAGTGCTGTGTTCTCTTATAATTCACCTCTGCCTTTACGAACCATAGCTCAGAAGCGGTCCTGATTGATGGTTCTTAGCAAACAGTAGGGAAAAGTACATTTACCAGAGCTTTTAATGGGATTCAAAACTTGCAGTGTGAAAAGAGCGAGCACGGTATAATTTGTTAGGTACCACGTGGGGGTAAAATACTGTGCAGCTGATATAATGTATAGTAGGAATTTGGTGAAAAATCAGTTTCATAAGACATATATATATATATATATATATATATATATATATATATATATATATATATATAAACCCATACTTTTTTTAAAGTTAAACAGTAATAGCAGCTCTAAAGTAGGCAGGTCCTCTTCCCTGATGGCTCTTGAAAGGTGCGATTTGGTTTTTTCTCTTTTTTTTTTTTTTTTTTTTTTTTCAATAAGAACATCAACATCAGCCCTGTATTTGACACTCCCAGAAGGTCACAGGTTCACCAAGAAGCCAGCGCCGGCAAACGCTCCAGCCCCTCTCTGGCGAGTCCCACCACGCCGATTGGATTACCCAAGCCCCCGCGCTCACCTGCGCGCGTCTCCAGGCTCAGGCTGATGCCGGCGCCGCCAAATTCCCTCCCACCTTGCAAAACCCGGCGCCGGGTTTCCCGGTTTACCTTTTACTCCTCCGATTTTTTTTCTGCTTCCTCCCACCCGGAAAACAAGCGCTCCTTCAGCTCCGCCGGGCTGTTCCGGTGCACGTTATCCCCAGGGGAGAACGGCCACCGAAATGCCTCCCGCTAAACCCCGTCTGCCGCGCGGCGGCTTGTGCCAACCGGCAAAGCCAAGCTCCCCGCAGAAATACGGGCAAACGGAAGTTATTGCTTGCTCCTCGGCCTTTTAGCTCCCCCCGTTTCTATCCACGCACAGACACACTGACAACACATACGCTTCACCAGCACTCAGGCAGCATCTCTTGCCTCTTTAAATGACCTCCTCCTCCTCCTCCCAGCCCCAGCCTGCCTGGGGCTGGCTTGGGAAAACCAGTGCCTCGTGCAAAGCTACTGGTGAGGATTTTTTTTTTATTCGGTGGCCACTTACTTTAAGGGTGCTTTAATGCAGCTTTCTGTTACTGGTGAGAACAAGGGAATACCGAACAGGTTTCAGAGCTCTTGCTGGTGTCAGGAGCAAAGCAGGAGGCGGCCAGGGAGCAGGCAACGAGGGAGATTCGGAACGAGGCGATTGAAAATGTCGGTGAGGCTCGGAGCTGGGGTGTGCCAGGGGAGCGTGTCCCTCTGCCGCACCCAGCACGGCCACGCGCTCTCAACACACAATGTTTGAGCCAAGAAAGTGCTTTCAGGCAAGCAGTTTCAGGTCTTTCTCCTGTCAAAGCTCCAGGTGAGCTTCTGATCAGATGCCTTCATCTCTTCATCTTTTTTCTGCCGCTTTTAAATCCTTATTGCATCTCTTTTTCAGAGACAGGTGAGGCGTCGCTATCTCGCGTGCTAAGCCACCCACCTTGAGTAAGTGGTATCTGTGACATTAGCTTTCCTCCAGCTGGCACTCCTCATCCCCTTTTTGATTTGGAGGCAGGAAAAGAGATCAGTGAGGCCATTGCAGGGCTGATTCGGTCAGTTTTCTTAGACCAAATTCAGTGTGGCCAAACTTTTAACATGCGCTCTGCGGATCAAGCACAAACACTTCTAAGTAACGCCATAGAAAGACTCTTCCTATAATGAAATGGCTTAAGAACAAAGATTTCCTTTCAAGGGGAGGACTCATCCTCCTTGGAGATGGTGGTGTTGAGCTCAGCGGGACAGCGTTGATGCCGACGGCACAACTGGCCACTTAGTTCCCCTTCAAACTTTCTCCAAGTGACAAATCATAGCGCAGTTCTGTTGAATTTCTCTCCATTGGTGGAAATCTCCCTACGGTTAGAGACGTTTTTCAGTTCTTGTATGTCGGCCTTCCCAAGCACTATGCGTAGAGGAGATGAATCTTTAACAGAGCAGTAAAAGGCAGCCTCTCAGCCTTCCTCTGTGACGGGCTAAATATCACCCGAAAGGCAAAAGGGAACGTGCTGCATTTCCCATCTCGCGTGTGGGGAGACACAATCTGTGCCTTTGGGGTTCGTGTCCTGCTCGCCAGGCTTTTGAAACCGAGCCGTCAGCTTGCACGAACGGCGTTCGTGGCTGGTTTAATCCAGCATGGTGCGGGCAATCCAGCAGGCAAGCACGGGGACCAGAAATTAAGATTAAAAAGTACCTTTAGTGGCAACTCTGTAAGCTGCTGGTATAATTGTTAATATTTATGCGCGAAGTTTTAAAACAAGCAAGATAAAAATTCAAGCAACCAGCTGACAAGCGTTATCCGTCGTATTATGGCTTTGAGACTTGCCAGTATTACTTTCACTCTTCTCCCGTTCCACTTGGAACTGGAAAACCAGAAGTGATTGTTTCTGAAGCCCCTACTAAGAGCTCTGTGGTACCAAAAGCGCAAGGGACAAACCTGACGCACCTCAGGTGGGTTCAGCAGAGAACAGTCAGGGGTGGTGTGGCTGCTGAACCTGGCGCCTGCCCTCGCTGGGGCTTCTCTGACCATCACAGAGAGCGAGATTCCTGGAGCCCAGGTAGTTCGTCCTTGACTTTCAGATAATTAAATTTGTTGTACAAGAGATGGGAGCGCTCTGACAAGCTGGCTTTTTGAAACAAAGCACAGATCAATTTGCTGGCGGGGTAAACTCTTCGCAAGCTCAGTTTTTACTGGGAAAATGTACCTGTCGTTTCAGGTTAATTTTCAGTTTTCTGTACCCAGGCTGCTTAAGCTCCTTAGTAGCACGCCAGTCCTTGTTTAGATTGCACTATTCATTTCTGGCACGGGATGTGGAGACAAGGATTACTGCTTTCCCACTTAACTGGTCCTGATGGATTAGATATGAAAAACCAGACTGAGTATTGTTAAGCAGCGTTTTCTTCATCCTTGACACTCCTTAACATGTAAAACCCTAGTACATCAATAAAACCAACCGAGCTGTAATTTGTAGGTGCCGAGTAGCTCGTGACCTGAGCGGCCCTCAGCACCGGGCTCCCTGCGAGCTCCGTCCCGGCAGCGACTCCCGATGCAGGCGCCTGACCCGCGCAATTTCAGACGTTATCACACCCGGCTGTACCCTTAAACGCCCATTCATTTTTTAAACAATTCTTACAAGCAGCATGGAGTTAGATGTAGCCTTTCTGTTAACGAACAGGGCACTGGTGGTGAGCTGCACGCAAGGAGCACGGCCATCTCCGAGTTACAGACGTCATCACTGCAATACTGCTGGAACCAGGGAGACCTCACATCACAGCCAGGGTGCCATTAATGCTAAGATAACATTTCACGGTCTTTTTCCAGTAACAGTAGCTTTTTTTTTTTTTTCCAGTAATAGTTTGACAGTTACAAATTAAAATAATTTTTGTAAATGGACCTGAGAAACATCAACTTTACTCTAAAAAGGGAGTTTCTTCAGCTAGGACTTAACATCAAAGTACCCCCAGTAAAAGCATTTTTAGCCAGTATCATAGAATATTGCACATACACTTGATAATCCCTGCTACCCTCTTCCACCTCCTAAAACGTACAAGATTAGAAGCAGAGAAAAGCTAGCGGTAATTCTGTCGTTGAAAGCAGCCCCAAAGGGCCCCACTACACACCAAGACCTGATCAGAACAAGGAAACCCTAACAGAAGTAGCAGGATTTGGTCACGGAATGACCAGTGAAGTGGCTCCCCCAGGGGAGGCCAGCTCACCGGAGCTCACCTGAATTTCTCCCAGTATCCCCAGTTCCGTTTCTGCACACGTACAGACGGCGGCAGTGCTGAACAGCCATTGCTGTAGGGCCCTCTCTTAAGCTCTGGTCTGTGCGCACCTTGCACCCGTCCCTCCTGCCTCCTGTTTAAATGCTGACTTCTTTTGAAGACCAGTGATAGCTAGAGGAAATTAGAAAGCTTTAACAGATATTAAATCATCCTTAAGGCTCGTAGGCTTGATGCCGAAATTATTAACTACTGTTCTCTTTAAAACCATGGGACATCTGCTTCGTGTTTCCAGTTTTGTGTTAGTAACACAACTGAGGTAACACAATGTCTGAGGGGCCAGCCAAGGAAAGCAGGTTTTGTCTGGATGCAATAAATACAGATGTGGAGAGGGAAGGTGGCTACATCTTTCTGTGGCCATCCCTTCCGCTTGCTTCCCTAACAGGTTGTTCCTGGACCCAAACTGGAAAAAAAAAAAAAAAATTAATCACATTTTCAGCAACGATGGCACCAAGCAACCGTTCTTCAGTCGACAGAAAAGTTGACATCAGCAGTACAGGACTGTGGAGTTTACTGCATCAGACCACGCAGGAGATGATACGCGCTCCAAAGTAATCCCGGATTTACGTTTGGAGATGGATACTGATAGGCTTGATGGTATCACAGACACCTCTGTCATTCAGGGCTGGATATCTAAGCTTTAGGTGGCATCTGGCTTTTAGCAGTTTTGACTAAGCGCTTCGCCCTTTCCTAGATTTTAAGAACTCATTCGAAACACAAAAATCATAGGACGTTAAACTTCAAACACCAACATCTCCCACCCCGCAGGAAGCGCAACCGATTACAGGTTCTGACGAAGCGTTCCAGCTGGGCTGGTGGGGAGGTGGAGAGGGTTAATCTCGTCTGGCTTGGCGACGACGTAGGGGGGTTCCTCCCGAGCTGTGCCCACAGACACCTTCCCCCGCTGCTGCGGCACACGGTGCGCGCGAGGGGCAGCGCCTGGGCAGAACCCCCCCCCCCCCCGGCCTTGAGCAACGTGTACCCGCGGGCACCCCGCGTCGCCCGGCCGCGCTGAGCTCCGAACGCCCGCGATCCCCAGGCTGCAACTCCAACGAGCTCTCAGGAAAGAATCGCTCGCCTCGGCGGCTGCTTGGAAGAAGGAGGCGCAACTGCGTTGAGCAGCGAGGTAAAGGGACGCTGCCTCCGAGGAAGGGCGCCGCTCCCGAGATCGCTTCGGGTTCTGCAGAGCCGAGCAGCGTCGCGTCAGGCTCCAGAAAGGCGTTGCGTGTTCCCGCGCCATCCGGATCCGCAGCAGAGCTCGCCGGCCGCCGCGCCACGGAGCGCAGGAGGCCG